TATGCATGCAAAAGCTGGACAGTGAATAAGGAAGTCTGTAGAAGATTTGATGCTTTTGAGTTATGGTGTTGGAGGAGAATATTGAAAGTACTACGGGCTGCCAAAAGAACCAATAAGATCCATTTTGGAAGAAATGCTGCCAGAGTGCTCCTTAGAGGCCAAGACTGCCAGACTTTGTCTTTCATACTTTGAACATATTGTCAGGAGGGACCAGTCCCTGGACAAAGATATAATGCTTGGTAAGGTGGAGGGTCAGAGCAAATGAGGAAGACCCCCAACGAGATGGATTGGCCAAGTGGCAGCATGATGGACTCAAGCGTGGCAACAGTAGTGAGGTTGGCCCAGGATCAAGCAGTGTTTCGTTCTGCTGTGCCTAAGGTTGCTATGGATTGGTACCTACTCAATGGCACCTAACAACGACAACAATGTGATGACTAAGGAGCTCTGCTAGCGTAGTAGTTACGAATCGGGCTGCAAACCTCAGGGATAGTAGTTGGAAACAGTTCTGCGGGAGAAAGATGAGGCTTTCTGCTCCTGTAAAGATTTACAGCCTCGGAAACCCTGTACAGGGTCGCTATGAGACAGAACCGACTCCACCGCACATAACAACAACAACAACAACAACAACAATGTGATGACTAAGAGTCCTGGTGTGGCGCTGTGGTTTAATGTGCCAGACTGCAAAGCCTTTGAACTGCAAAGTCGGCAGTTCAAGCTCACCAGCTGCTCCTTGGAAACCCTATACAGGGTCGCTATGGGTCGGAACCGACCCAATTCGCAACAACAACAATGTGATGACTAAGGAGTTCTGGTAGCGAAGTGGTTACCAATCGGGGTGCTAACCTTAAGGTCAGCAGTTCCAAACTACCCCCGGGGGAGAAAAATGAGGCTTTCTGATCTCGTATAGATTTACAGCCTTGGAAACCCTGTACAGGGTTGCTATGAGTCGTAACCTACTCCATGGTACTTAACAACAACAATAATGTGATGACTAGAGTCTTGGTGTGGCATTGCTGGTTAATGCGCTGGACTACAAAGTCAGTATGAACAGCAAGGTCAGCCACTCAACCTCACCAGCCACTCCTCAGAAAACCCATACAAGATCACTATGAGTAATGATTATCGTAAAAAATGATAAATGCTAGACTATAGTTACATCAAGGATATCAGTGGAATCCCAAGGAAGGACAACACCATACTCAAGGTTTTATTTGACAATACTTTTCTAAATGAGATGTCAAAGATCTAGAGAAGTATGTAATATATTTCACTATAAATTTCATATAACATTATAGACTATAATTTAATATTTTCTAATTACTAAGAAGCCATTTTAGAATTTTGAAAACTATTAATAATAGAATTTTAAAAGACAATGATTGTGTTGTTGATGGTTATAAATGTTCTTCTATTAAACTAATTACTAAATCATATAGTCTGCTGTACTAAAGTCAAAGAGGAAAAACTGATCAGCTCAAAAGGAAAATGATTTATTGTAAATTACCATTTTATTTTAACAAAGAACACCAAAAAGTATTATGAATATGTATATTCTATCTCTATATGAAAATAATAATGCAATAATTGCACCTTATTAAGAAAAATCTTGTAAAATGTACATATCAGTACTTATATAAAAGAGTATGCTATGACATTAACATGACAAATTCCAGAAACCCTCCTCCTTTCTTTTTCAGATAACAGGCATTACATTTTCAGATTATAATCACAAGAAATTGTGACATACCAATATCGAGAAAAGATTTGTTAATAAGAACTTTAAAAAAAAAATGATCAATGAAAACATGCTTGTATATTGGACACCTATAGTATTAGACATTTTAACATGAAAACAATTTGTAGAGTTTAAAATGTGTATGGTTGGAAGAATTTTTCTTCCCAAGAAGAAAATGTGACTCAAAAATAGTTCTAGAGACATATTTCTGTTAAAATATCTTCTAGAATATTCTTTAATTTTAATAACCTCACTGGGAAAAACAATGCCAAGATCTAATGAATTAAACCAGTGATAACAGCAACACAAGGTTTATACACTTTTCCTTTCTGATATTTTAATAGTGAGTTTTGTTACCTCCTCAACTTTTTTTTTTTTTTTTTTAACCTCCTCTTTAAAAAAACACTGCTTTGAATTAATTGGTTTTACACATATCATTAAAATTTGAACCAGCTGTCAGTCAGATTCTACAAAATATACATTTCCATTTTTTTTAACTACTTCTTAGTTCATCTGATAATTTGTTTCCTAATTTGTGCTAACATATGAAATTGAAAAGCATGAAATTAGAAAAACCTTTTAGAATTCTCCTTACTCTCTGTATTCCCAGGGAGAAGTGAGACTATAAAATAATTTTGAATAAAGGCTGTATTATATATAAGCATTAAATAATCTGTATCCGGGAAATACTGTTTTGGTAGCTTAATATACAAACAAAAATGTTTAGAATACCATACATTCATTTTTTATACAATATATCTGATTACATTTTTATTAGGAACTACTAAATTATATTTTAGATTCATTTGTGAATAGGTATCAAAAAGTTTATGTAAAAACAGAATTAAAAGATAATGGAATTTTTCCATGAAATTTTAAAGCCCTCTTATATATGGTAATACACAAGTAAGAGATCTTTATTTAATAAGAAAATACCTCCCCTTTCATTTTGTATTACTTTCAGCTAACTATAGATTTTCTGCAAGAAATAATAAAATAAAGACTAGAATTGGTCATTAGAATAACTATAATGTGCTGTATTAAAAAAACAATAGCACATAATTTACAATTGCAAGGCAAGTCAGAGTTTAAATAACCATTTTAGGGGTAACTTAAAAAACAACTAGGAGCACATTGCAAGAGAGTATTTCCTTATATACCCTTTAATTCCTTTAATATTTTCCTATCCTTAAGACAAGGTAAACTATTTCAATTTCATATGCTTTGGGACGAATTCCAATTTATCAAATTCAGAATTGTGGCAATTATATTTTGGGGAGTGGGTTGCAAATGTATATATAAGGGAAAAGACAGGAAAGCTGGTTATCTTTAGATGCATCACTGATACAGATTAACTTTCCTATGGAGCCTAATTTTTTTAAAGTGGTCTAGAGTAGATTCAAGATCAATGCAAAAGACATCTTTTCAAATACATAGACAGACATATGCTCACACACACACATACACACACACACACACACCACTACCTCTGTATTTTTATAGATTTATTTTTCTAGACATGCCATTTTAGAGAAAAAGCAGAATAAAGAGAGTCCAACAAAACTATATTTAGTGCTTAGTCACACTCGACATTCAATGTCTCTCCTATAAAATCTTTAGTGCTGATGACATACACATTTTTAAAAACTAAATCCCCCATGGAGTACATATGATGTTAACAAAATCTGCATCATCTACTATCCCTATACTTAAACCTTCATAGTAATCTTCAAATTCGCAATATGACACTTCATTAGACTTGATGGAGGCATCTTTTAACGTTTCTAGAAAAGATGATATGATTTCTTCCTCTGTAAAATGACCTGTAAAATAGTACAAGCAATCCGTGGGTTACAACTTAAGTACACCCCATAGTTACAACTGGAGAAAGATGATGCATTCTGCTCCCGTAAAGAATTACAGCTTCAGAAACCCTGTGCAGGGTCACTATGAGTCAGAACCGACTCCATAGTACTTAACAACAAAACAACTGGTCAGGTGGAGTCCTGGTGTGGCGCTGTGTCCTAATACATCAGACTGTGAAGTCGTTTGAACTGTAAGGTCGGTGGCTCAAGCTCACCAGCTTCTCCTTGGAAACACTATACAGGGTTGCTATGGGTCGGAATCGACTCGACGACACTTAACAACAAAAACATAGTTACAAAGCAACCCCTGTAAAGCCTGTTATATTAAAAATTCAATGTACTTACAATGGTTCACAATAACAAGAATTACTTTAGGACATACATCAAAACATTAATAATATTACTACTCTATTATTGTGTTTGACATATTATCAGGAGAAAGACATTATGTTTGATAAAGTGGAATGTCATTGAAAAAGAGGAAGATCCCCCCCATGAGATGGATTGACACTATGGCAGCAGCAATGGGCTCAAGTATGACAACCGCTGTAAGGAAAGTATAGGACCAGGAAAGGCAGTGCTTTGTTCTGTTGTCCTGGGTCCCTATGCGTCAGAACAAACTAGATAGCATCTAACAAGAACATTAGTATGTTAAAGATACTTTCATAGATCTGGAAGTGTTTCTTTAATGTGCTTAATGCATAGAAAGGTACACTATATACTATATGCAAACTATCCCAACAGAATGAACAAATTCAAACTGAAAAAGAGATTTAGGAACAGTGCTTGTTAGCAATCCCAGGACTGTATTGGCTATGAAAAGATCTCCTTGAAAGTTCAGGAAACTGACTGATGATAGTAAACTAATACTTAATGAGTTATGACATCTTTTTTCAACATTATGAAATCTTTCAAACTATCCTTTAATTTACTTAAATATCTCTTTGTGTGGATTATAGTATATAAGGGTTGATGACTTTATAATACATTTGAAGCATTGCCTAAGCTTTTGGTAGGGTCTATATGTGGCCCTGAAGGAGCTCTGGTAGCATAGTGGTTATGACTCAGGTTGCTATCCTCAGGGTCAGCAGTTCATAATTACCAGCTGTTCCATGGGAGAAAGATGAGGCTTTCTGCTCCCGTAAAGATTTACAGCCTCAGAAACCCTGTACAGGGTCACTATGAGTCGGAACCAACTCCATGGCACATAACAACAACAACAATATGTGGAACTGTGGGTTAATGCGCCAGACTGCAAAGGCATTTGAACTGCAAGGTCAGTGGTTCAAGCTCACCAGGGGCTCCTCAGAAACCCTATACAGGGTTGCTATGGGATGGAACTGACTCAACAGCACTTAACAACAACAATTATTTATGTGTATGAAAAATAGTAGGCATCACTTTAGGTATTCTTGCAAATCTTAATGCTTTTTAGGACTCAGTTTTATTTCCACTGGAAATTAAGAAAGAAGAAAACAAGTTAGAAAAACTTCAGCACTAGTTACTTTATAAGTTAGTCACTTAAAACTGCAGCTAGAAAATATTAGAGCAAACATGGGTCTCAGAAGCCTGTGAAAATCTTAGTTGGAAGCAATTTCACTTGATTAAATCATTCTATTTTAGTCTCTGACATTAAGCAGACTATTTCTACTGAGTTCAATTAAATATGATTAACTCTTATCCTATTGGAAGATGTTATTGAGAACCACGTATGTAAAAAGGATAGACTTTAGTATTTGAAGAGAGAACATAAATTCATCTTTTTTCTTAAATTCATTTGAGTTTTGTTTTTATTAACAAGATCATGAATTTATTTAAACAACAGTACTGGTATGGTACTGTGGGATACACACTGGAAGGCTAACTACAAGGACAGAGGTTCAAGTCCACCATTTGCTCCTTAGACACCCTATGTATGGTTGCTATGAGTCAGAATGGACAAAGGCACTTAACAATAATACCATAATGTGGCCAGTTAAGGGAGGAAGAGATCTTAGAATAAGTACTGTTTCAGAGGGAAGCCTTCACTAACCACTCCAAATCTTGGTACTCTACCATAGAACTTATTTCACTAATTTTTCCACTACCCCAAATGAAGGGGAGACTGTTTTCTTGAAAGTACTACTCTACTACAGAATCTTGGCATTGCATGAAAGAAAAAAGACATGAATAATTTCCTTTTAATAAAAAAAGAATAAGAAATAAAGTTACAGAAGATGGTCAGATAATACTAAGAGAGGGTAAAAGACGGTCTATAAACAAAGGCAGAAAAAGGGTCAAAAGATAATAATACTAATAATCTATCAAAGAACACCACCACTTGTATGTCAGTTTGTCGTACTGTGGTGGCTTGTGAGTTGCTGTGATTCTGAAAGCTATGACACTGGTATTTTAAATACCAGCAAGGTCACCCATGGTGGACAGGTTTCAGATGAGCTTCCAGATGAAGGCAGACTAGGAAGAAAGAGTAACGAACTACTTCCAAATATTTAGTCACTGAAAACCTTATGAATAGCAGAGAAACACTGTCAGATATAGTGCTAGAAAATGAGCCCCTCAGGTTGGAAGGCACTCAAAATGTGAATGGGGAAGAGCTGCCTCCTCAAAGTTGAGTTGACCGTGATGAAGAAAAAGGAGTAAAGCCCATGGGAGAAAAGCCTGTAGGACCTTCATTTGCTGGTGGGGCACAATTCAAAATGAAGAGAAACAGCTATAAACATCCATTGGAAATTGGAACATGGAATGCACAAAGTATGAATCTGGGAAAATTGGAAGTTGTCAAAAATTAAATGGAACATAGAAACATCAATATCTTAGGCATTAGTGAGCTGAAATGAACTTGTATTGGCCATTTTAAAACTGATGACCACATGGTTTACTATTATGGAAATGACAAATTGAAGAGGAATGGTGTTGCATTCACTGTCAAAAAGAACATATCCAGATCAGTCATGAGATACAATGCTGTCTGTACCTATAGGTAATATCCATGTGCCTACAGGGAAGCCCTGTTAATACCACTATTGTTCAAATTTATGCACCAACCACTAAAGCCAGTGAGGATGAAATAGAAGATTTTTACCAATTTCTTCAATCTGAAATTCATCAAACATGCAATCAAGATGTATTGATCATTACTGGTAATTGGAATGCAAAAGTTGGGAGCAAAGAGGAAGGATCCGTAGTTGGAAAAACATGGCCTTGGTGATAGAAATGATGCCGGAGATCACATGATAGAAATTCTGCAAAATCAATGATTTGTTCATTTCAAATACCTTCTTTAGGCAGCATAAAAGACAACTCTACACATGGACCTTACCAGAAGAAATCAAATGACTGCATCAGTAGAAAGAGATGATGAAACAAGGCCAGGGGCAGACTGTGGAACAGACCATCAATTACTCATATGCAAATTGAAACTGAAGCTGAAGAAAATGAAAAAAGTCCACAAGAGCCAAACTATGACCTTGAATATATCCCACCTGAATTTAAAGATCATCTGAACAACAGGTTTAATACATTAAACACTAAAGACAGAAGACCAGAGGAGTTGTGGGATGACATCAAGAACATCATACATGAAGAAAGCAAAAAAATCATTAAGAAGACAAGAAAGAAGGAAAAGGTCCAAATGGATGTCAGAAGAGACAGTGAAACTTGCTCTCCAGTGTGGAGATGCTAAAGCAAATGTAAGAAATAAGGAGGTCCAAGAGCTGAACAGAAAATTTCAAAGATCAGCTCGAGAAGATAAAGCCAAATATTACAACAAAATGTGCACAAAGATCTAGAATCAGAAAACCAAAAAGGAAGAATATGATCAGCATTTCTCAAGGTGGGGGAACTGAAAAAAAATTCAAGCCTTGACTTTCGTTATTGAAAGATCTCTGGGGAAATTATTGAATGATGCAGAAAGCATCAAAAGAAGATGGAAGGAATATACACAGAGTCACTGTACCAATAGGAAATGGTTGATGTTCAACCATTTCAAGAAGTTGTGTATGATCAAGAGCCAATGATATTGAAGGAGGAAGTCCAAGGTGCTAAAGGGATTGGCAAA